AATATTAGTAAATTATTAATAGTTAAAGGGTAATAGGTTAGTAGAGGTACGTTACTTACTTATCTACGTTGCTCGCTTATTAACTACGTTATTATATATTAAATAGTTATTATATAAGGGTAAGCTAATAGTAAGTTACTTATAAAAAAGCTTTTAATTTTTAGTAAATAATAAAGTTATATTATCTTACTACCTTACTATAATATATCTACAACCTCTCTCCTTACTTCCCTTTAGTTAGCTACTACCCCCTCTATCACTGACAGCCCGCTTGCGCAAGGGTAACTTGCAAGCGCTCAGGAAACCCGTGCTCAGCAGCCAATTGCAAAATTGTGGTCCACGGGCTCACTTGATACTTTCTGTCATGATTCATATCATCCACTTGCTTGAAAAGGTCTTCTTTGGGCCATAGAGAGTAGTGCAAGATATCATCCTTGCCGGTGCTATTTCTCTCACAGGCTTCGACATGCGGCATCCAATAGCGTAAAGCGTATGATAAGAATGGAAGATCCTTTCTGACTAGGTCATGTACCTCATCCCGACGTATGTAGAGGTCTCTCACCGGAGACTGCGAGAAGAACATATTCTTCCGCTCTTTCTGTTCCACCTTTTCGAGCCCTAGCTTTTCCCACTCCTTAATTCTAACTCGAGTTAGCGGAACTCCTCTCGTTTGAACACGCATCTCAGACCCTCTCTCTTACTTTTTCCATAACTCTCTCTCGAAATGAGGAATACTCTCCGCCTCTGCCTCGGAAAGAGCCTTCGCCGTACATGAAGAAAGATCCACTATGGCCAGGTAGCGAATACAGGTTTTCGCCAGTCTGTAGTGGCCGAGTCTTTGCTCCCGAGTAGTCGTCGCAGTGGGATCGCTGTTCGAAATCACATCAGCGCCTCGAAGAAGACGCAAGCCGTGGTTGAAGAAGAACTCTTTCACCGTTTCGTGAATAAACTGTACGCGCTTTGTGGTGCCCTCGGAGGTTTTCGTAACCACGACCTCGGCAAGGCCGCAGCTAAGTGCTCGGAGACGTCGCGTCATGCCGTCGTCATCAGTGATGAATGAAGGATGGTTTCGACAATCTACCACCGACTGTTTCGAGTTGTCATCATCGACAATCATCGCCCATCTTAGTTCATCCAATGACAGGGCCCGCTGTGCAAAGCATATCCACTGCATCACCTGCAGAGAGCTGGCCTTCTCTGCCCCGCTCATGATTATTGATCTGAATAGGTCCTGTAGTTCTGGAGGCAATCTTTCGAGGGCTTGAACTATAAATGGCAGCCCGCGTCCAGAATGATGAAGCCGGATCGCCTCTTCCAGAGCCACGCGAGCCCATAGGAAAATGCCATGAGCTCTGATGATGACGATTTTCGGAATTTCGGAACTGGAAAGCTGCTGACAGCGGTTCGAAAACTCTTCCAAGACGTACTTTTTGATATCATCGACATTCTTCTGGTCTACTTGCAACTCAAAGCCGCAGTCGGCGGCTATAATGGGGAAGTGGCGTGCGGTGAAGCATATGTGGAAGTTTGCGTCGCTGCTCGGGTTTATCTTGAGGAGAAGTTTAAATTCGCGGACCATGGTATCCGCAGTTCCCTCATTGCTCTCATCAAGTGCATCCACGAATAGCCACAAAGCATGTGAATCGAGAATACTGCAAATGGCATGCGCTAGGTTTGTACCCAGGTCCTGCTCCTGCCAGTACCAGTCTTTACCCACCTGTCCGCTTGTATCCTTTCGCCTGCTGAAGGAGGTGACAAGGCCACCCAGGGCCTCGGGGCACTGATCAAGAAGTTGGTGCAGAACTGACCTATAAAAGCCCAGCCGCGTCTTCTCCAGGTCGTCTGCCGCGCGTTTATTGAAGAAGAATGACACCACGATCGATCTCATTTTGTCGACATACCGGGTCCGCTTGATTTCCTCCATTATGAACTTGATCAAAGTCGATTTTCCCACTCCTGGGTGTCCCTTCATCCAGAACAGTCCACGGTCAGCCGACGACCATTGCTTGTAAGTACTCTCTTTAAGCACCCAGGTACAAGTCCCTTGCGTGGCTGGTCCAATGGCTACGGACCGGTTGTCCATGCTAGAAAACCACAGCGCTCGCATACATTCCTTTTCGTCCTTCGTCAGGAGAACGTCGGCTAGTAGAAAAATGTCGAATCAGATTGTGTGCATTGAACGGCAGCTGCCTACCATGTTGTTATGTTGTGACACTCACAATTGCTTTCTGTGGTGTCCCGTGCCATGGCTTCAAGGATGGTGCGAACTTTGTCATACTGCGCGTCGTTCTCTTCAAACTTGACAATATCGGAATGCGATCGCGGGATAGCACAAACACATCCGTCATTGAATTCTGACTGGGGACAATGTCTCGCAGATGTTACGCTCAATGCCATGACCTTGGGACCATTCATCTTCCACTCTCCCTTGTCGTTCTGCAACATGTTATTATGAGCTTCAATGCTCCAGCGTCATTATTTTATACCTTCATTGCTGTATTGGATTGCTCGGTTTCGTAAAAGCAAAATAGTCTCAAATCTTGCTTCGTGTGGGAGAGTTGATGGAATCGATCCCTCAAATCTTTGAGCGCTGAAGAGTTCACAGCACTCAGCGATTCAATAAGCCCAGAGTTGGGTCTGTCCCCGGCCATGGCTTTAAGGGCCCCGATCTCCATGCCACTGTGAGGTACTGCAAAAAAGGCAACTGCTCGTGATGCACAGAGAAGAGATTCGTGATTCTTACTATTTTTCTCTGTAGCGAGTTTAACCAAAGCCTGATGTGGCAGTCAGTTATTTTGAAAACGGATAGTCTGAAGGAAGGATGAACAGGGGGGCGGGGTGATGATGGGAAAGGCAGAACGATGATGTACCTGTTTGACTATTATACCCCCAAGGCTGTGCCCGATGAAGATGATGGGTTTTGCTGGGCGCGAATGAGCCAGCGGAAGTAAAGAGGTGATGAAAGAAGTAGTTATATCAGGGATCTGTTGTACGTTTGTGCTATACGCGACTTTTGAAGGGTAACCGTAGATGATGACTCGCGCCATCGGTGTGCTCGTGGCCTTGTCCGTAATGTGTTTTGGAAGAGAGTCGCGCAGCCACATGTGGCTGCCGCCTCGTTCTTTGAAAGAGCCAAACGCATGACCGCCCAGCCCAGAAAGTGCAATGATGCTACGGTAAGGACCTCACTGTTAGTGATAATCATAGCAGTCCCTCCGTCACGACAGCTCCAGGGTAGCATACTCGAGCTTATGATCCTCTGGAGGAGGCGCAAAGAGGGTGGTCATCCCTTCGAACTCTGTTCTCAATGTAAGACTTTCGGATCCAAGATCTTCTATCTTTGATATATATCTAGGGCTCGTCAATTTGGCCTCAGCCGCAATGGTTGCTGTGGCTTGGCCATGTCTGCCGTCAATGCTTGGAGCGAGAGACTGGACGGATACGTCGCAGCGAAGGCTGGTCTTCAGAAACGATTCGAGTCGGTATTTATCCCATTCATTAGGAACACTTTTGATTTGCCATGTTGTTGGGAAGGGGTTTGCCGGAGGTGTGGTGCTGCTTAGGGTCGCCATGAATACGAATAGTGAACGCCTCAGACATGGCAAAAGGACAAAATAACAGGCACCGGCTAGTTATACCGGGCCGCTGATTCTTTTAAACTCGCCTATTGAGTTCATCGATACCTGATGCGGGGTAAATCAACGATTAGGTAGCAATTTGCTGATCCCGCGGGGGAATTGGGTGGCGCAGATGACTGCAGTTGACTGCAGTTGACCCAGCTCAGCCCGTTATATCGGGCAAATCAGGGCATCATCGAGATATAGGCCAACTATACTCACCATGCATGCTCCGACAACCCGAACGATAGCTAGCCTCCCTCCATTTGTTCTGGTGTATAGCTAATCGCCGCGAATGCTGTCGGCACCGTTCAGGCTACTCCATGTCTGAATCAGCGCCAACTTTTGGCCGTCGGCCCAGCTGGTATCTGCGCTGACGCCAAACATGCTGCCATGCAGCCGAAATCGGCTCAGCAGGTGGGTAAGTAGTCTCTTGCCGGAGATACCTACGCGGCGTGGGGGGGGGGGGGGGGGGGCGTAGTTCGAAGATTGCACTGATGGATGGGGTAAAATCGAGTCTAGATGATGACATGGAACGGCCACGCTTATCGGTAATGTATTCGGAACCTGTGTCCAAGTGATTACATCGCACCGATACGCCACCCTGTATAATTCGGATGCTGTCGTGATCCCGTCATCAGACGTACACCAGGCCAAACAGATTGGAGACGCGACCTTGACTCGTTTGTTCTGAAAGTTGAAATATATTTCCGTAGTACCTTCGGGATGAGATCCTCTGTGAGCTGCGGGCGGCTCGGAACAAGAAGAAGAAGGATAGATTTCATGATCATGATTATGGCCTGATGTGCCCGCTCAAATGAGCACCCTTGCAAAGGCATCTCCGAGACCCCTCTCGCCCAGCCAGGCCTCGAGAGCCCTCATGTCGTTCCTGTTGGCCCTCTCGCCGCGCCGCTCCAGCTCGCCCGTAATTTCGCACATGCCAGCAAAGGCGCGCGCCGCGAGGCCCGTCTGCCGATACCGCTCGCTGACTTTTTTATGGTGCGCGGGAATGTCGCCCCAGCTCTCCGTCTTGATGTACTTCATGTAGTCGTCGACGGCCTGCGAGCCGCCCTCAACGCACAGGATGCCTGGCTTGCCGGCGAGCAGGAACCCGGTGAGGCCGTACGCCGGCGCGTGGCGCACCAGGTCGTCGCGCTTGGAACGCGTGCTGATGGAGGGAAAGTAGAACCAGACGCGCGTCAGGGTTTCGGTTTCTCGTGACGGTGGCGAGGCGGCAGCGGCGTCCTGCGTCTGGGCTTGTGAGAGGTGCGAGCTGGCGGCGGCGGTGATGTTGTCAATTGTCGCAAAGAGGTCGTCCTCTTTAGGCAGCTCCGCCATCAGATTGTTGGCCTCTGCTTTGCTCATCCAGGATGGCTGCTGCAGCCTAACCCGCGCTGGCGGTGCCTCGTCTGTAACATGTTGCTGAATGCAGAGCGGGATGGTGATGCAGAGTTGGATCGCCTTGGGCAATTCCGCATTGTCCTGTGTAGAGAGCTCTAGCTCGAGTAGCAAGTCGACATCTGGGAATCCGGGCAATGTATCCAGCGAAGGGTCTTCCGCCATCGCATCTCGCAGGCGCTCTAGGGTGGCCTTGTCAGAGTCGCCGAGAACGACGTTGCCTGGTGCAGGGTACATGGCCATGAGCAAGTCAATCTGCCCGAGCTGGGCCTCGAGCATCCCCAATGGCAATATGGAGTTGCTGGTGCCATCACTTTCCATCCTAGAGTGCTCTCAGAGAATGAAATGGCTCGCGTCGAGATAGTGCAAGACGAGCGCTGGCTGCGTTGATGATGATGAGGATAAAATTTAGCCTGCGTAGAGTTGCCCCATATTTGGCGTTGCGCGAAATCTCCATGGCACTGTCAAGTTGACGCCGTGATCAACGAAAGTGCCGATTCATAGATTACTTTGTTCACAAATTGACTCTAAAGTCTCATCAAGACTTTGCTTTATAATTCTGCTTTCAGTGAGGCGTCTATAGACGAAGATGATTTGTTCTGAACGTGCCTGGCCTGACTTTGGCTTGACGAAGCACAATGGGGAGGCTTTGCGACGGAAGACTTGGAGGTGGAAGCCCAAGATTGGTGTCTACATTACAGAGCGGCGTGCATCATGCACCGTGGTGAGAGGCAGGCACGCTCTGCGTGTTAGCAGCGCTGAGAGAGAAGGAGGGGGGGGGGGGTTCCTACGGCAAGCACACATGGATGTATTGCTCTCGCAATAAATTGCACGCGTGTGTCCTGAGCCTCTTTGAGAATACGTCCAATGGCGTGGTAATCTCAGCATCTATCGTAAATGACACTTTTCTGTATGGCATGAGAAGAGACACGGCTTGGACGGATGGGTGTCGTCGTTAACAGCGCCGAACAGATTACGAAGTCACAGTCTGCAGCCGCGCATTTCCCGAAAACGGAATTATACGCACCCATCACCCTTGATTCCACCGAACCAGTAGGGCATGATTTAATTTTGTACGTCAAGTGATTTTTGTGTGCTGCACGGCCAGGATCACTCGAAAAAGGGTGTGGCATGGGAGCCAATGAATCAACATTTGATGTATACAAGATACAATATTAAGCCGAATATAGCACCCCCCAACCACCACCTAATACTGTAACATGATACCCTGCGCGAGCAGATGATTTCTTCTTCTAGGTCATCGGGACCTTACTTCTTCTATGATCTTTTGATGTGGATGGGAATGGTGATGGTGGTCCCGCGCCGAGGCGTTGCGTGAATCTCCTGCTGCGGCCTGCTGCCGCCAGGATTGGTGTCTGCCTCGCACGAAAAGACATCTTCGTACGTCGGCGGCGAGCCAGGCGAGTGTGGTGTGGTGTTTGCGTTGCCGTACTGCTGGCTCGAACGTCGCAGAATCACAGTGATGATGGTGGTGCATTCGACGAGGGCTTCGGTGCTGCCCTCGGAGACGGACACTGTACGGGTCTGATTACGCGTGCGCTGCCTTTCATTCCTGCTTCTGGTTAGCAGAAGCTGAGTGTTGGATAATGTGTTGTGCCCGTAGGCATGGGAGGCGACGTACATGGCGGCGCATTGGAGGCAATGATCCAGAGGCTGGGATTCGGAGATGGGCTTCTTGCAACCGGGACAAGTGTAGAGAGGCATTTCTTTGCAAGGAGAGTCGAGTTGCAAGAAATGTCAAGATTATGTTTGTCAAAGAGTGTATGTGGACGGATCGTAGAATAGACCACGTGGAGGAGACAATACTGACAAGCGACCAGACGAGGTCCGAGTTTTATATAGGAGGAAGCTGGTCACAAATCGAAATGCCAAGTAGTGGTAGTAGTAGTAGAAGAAAAAAACATGCGCCGGGTTGTAATTATAGCAGCAGCACAGAATGTACCGAATAACATGACAACCCAACATCTGTGGCTTGGGTAACGCGTTGCAGCCACCAAGAGAAGCCGTGTGTGGGTGTCGTGACACCAGAGACCCAACTTGCAAGGATACCAGAGTCCGAGGGACGAAAAAAAAAAAAAAAAAAAAAAAAAAAAAAAAAAAAACCTACGAGATAAACCTTGTCCAATGTAGCGTCTTAATAGTGGCTCGATTTCTATCTTGCGGGAGTAAAGCCAACCTCTACCCCCGGTGCGGCGTCGGAGATTGACTGGCAGCGAGGTAAGCGAAGCGAGTCCGTGAGAGGCATCGCCGCCGCCACATGCGCTGATAAATGAGAGCGCGGCTACAGGGCGTCGAGTAACATCAGGAAAAGATGGTAGTCACACTACATTGTTTTTACTTTGTACGGCATTTGCCGTGGCGATGCTCATGGCCGTGTCGAGAGAGTTAGTGGGAGGCAACTTGCATGCGCCAGAAGGGACAAGAAGATACCACAAGGCTGTGCTCTCGTTGCTTGCTACGAGATCTGGACCACTGGCGCAAAACGGCCACGATCGCGCACGGATCAAGAGGGTATTGTTGAATGCGGTAATCCGTATACCGGCTCCGAGAACAAACGACGGCCTTGTCCGAACCGTCAAAGTAACATGCCAGTTTTCTTTTTCTATTTCTTTCAATATTATTCACCAGGATATTGTATGCTTAGTGTCCTTTATCTCGCTCGAATCACCTGCGGGCGCAAGACAGGCATTCTTGCATCTGTAGAAGTTCCGTCACAAAGTATCCAGTAGTTGGGCGAATTGCTGCAAGGCATGGGAGGATAGGTTGGCACATCGTCCAGCCCACCCCCTCCTTCTTCCGGAGACCTGGGGTAGTGGAGGGGGGTATACTTGAAAGAAAAAAAGAAAAAAAAAAAAAAAAGGACAATCGACGCCCTGATTCGAGACTGGGGCAGTTGAGTACGATATCCCGCCACGGATATCAAATTTCAAGCGGAACGTGGACGATCCGTGCTATTCGATGCATGAGGCTGCGAGGAGGCAAATGCACCCCTTGCAGCAAAAAATGGCCGCAGCGCCCGCGGAGCCTCGCCCAGCACCGGCTCTCGGCTCTCGCATCGATCAGCAATTAAAAAGAAGAGAGAATCAAGCGAGCAAAGATGGGCCGAGCCTTGCAGGGCGTATCTAGCATGGTTAAGTTTGTTGGCAACGGGGGGCAGGCAGACTTACTAGCAACTCTATCCTTCTCCTCCTCCACATCATCCGCCGGGCATGCGCCCGCAGAATGTCCTGTGGAGAACTGTTTTTCACGTCTGAACATCTTGAAACGGCCGCACTTCTCATCACACGGAAGTAACCATCTACTAGAGGCGGAATGGTGGTGGGGAGGCAGAGTCCCCTCGGGACTATTTTCGATGTATTTGCGGAGCTCGTCGCATCCGTTTCCTCCTCCATACAACCTTTGACTTTTTGGCCTTTCAGGCAACAATGTGCCAAAAAAATGTAACATTGCATGTCTTTGTTCAGGAGAGAACCCTCACGATCGGGGGTCTTGTATTTTTGCTTTCTGCTTTTCACATGTGAATGTGGGCTACGAACCAACCTTGCGGGCCGCATTGTAACTCGTCAGCTGTCCGCCGCAGTAAGTAGCTAATTGCTTAATAAACAACCACACCTCTTCTGACAAACACGATGATCTAATTCTAGAGTTGTCAGTATCACCAGAAAGAGGGTTTCATTCGAGAAAAGCAGTGATAGTCTGGCCGTTTCGAGTCACCGTTCCTTTGCTTAACCGGCATGGCCGATGCAGCTTGGGGGAGCACAGCATCAGCCTCAATTACACACGGCGAGGGGAAGATCCGCGTAATGCAATGACATATTGAGCACCATAGGGCTTTGTGACATGCTTCAAGGTTAATACGACCAGTCATCATCTTTTGTTTCACGGTCCCGTTCCTTTTTTCTCGGCTGTAGAGTTTCATCATCTGCCGAGCAAAAGACTACGCACACTGAACTATCCTGTGACCCCTTGCTCACGGCCACCCATCTTCACGACACCAGAATGCAAGCCACTGCGCTAGTGCCTTGCTTGTCCGAAAGACTCTTCTTCCTCTGATTGATTGGCAATGAGGTGCATCGCACCGCCGGGCTGCCGGTTGCAGTTGCTCCCCAATGCAAGACATTGATTGATCCTTCGATCGAATGGGGGATGCAGAGCGAGGAGCGGTCCTGTCCCGGTGCTACGCTGGCGCTTTTTTTCTTCCTTTTTTTTCTAGTCAACGCAACGTCAAGCAAGCCATGCGGACAAGGCACAACCAGACCCCAACGTCGACGACGAGTTGCCGAGTAGACAGCACCGTCGTACTGTCAAAGGATCAAACATCAGCTCCATCATCGCCGTACACTTGAATTCGTCAGACTATACCGCTACCATGAAACCCCATCGCCACATCCTGCTTCTCCTTCTCCATCCCGCGGGCGTTTGCAACGCCGGCCATATTAGCGGCCACACCAAGTGCCGCCGGCAGCGCGGTAATGACACATGCAACCTTTCTGAGAGAGGCTAAAATTGCCGAGAATTATATATATATATAAAAACAAAGGATAGTTACAGAAATGACCTCTGATTTATAAGAGCGACCAAGTTGGGTCCGCGCGCACATGGGAACCCCGGCGCCCCACGCCGAGCATGGATCCGGAGCGACAGCCGAACTAGCCCTTGTCATCCCAAGCCCGCGTCATTCCGGGTTGCTTCCGTATATAAACTACTTGTCAAGATACTTTTGAGCTTGTTAAATTCCGCTTGGGTGTGTAACCGTCTTTCATTCCGAAAGCAGGTACGGGCTTTTTGTGTGCGTATGTGTCCGCACTCAACGACAAGGTCAAAAGAACCATTCGCGATCAACGTGCTCACCCAAGCTGCTCCTATTTCGTCCACCATGGCGTTAGTCACACGATTATAAAGCCGTCACCATTCGATTCCAACTTCCTTTACTTTAGTAGTACAGAGGTTGG